GGCCTCAGCCCCACGCCACCTGGGCCTCTCCACAGGGCTCCAAGTCCCCAGGATGTGGTGGCTGACTTCACCCAGACCAAAGGACCCAAAACACCAAGTGAGAAGTCCCAATGCCACTGATGACCTAATCTCTGAAATGGATACTGTCATTTCCACTTTATCTGCTTCCCAAGAAGTGAGTCATTAGGTGCAGCCCACACTCAGCAGGAGGGCAGTCAGACTCCACCTCCTGAAGGAAGGAGTATCAACAAATGTGGGTGTGTTAAAACCACCAGGGAACCTGAGGAGGTTTGGGAACCGGGCGAGAGCAGAGGTTTGTGGTGCCCATTGCTCAGCAATAAAAGCACCGTTTTTACACTCCAACACAGCTGCGTCCAGACGGGAAACATCCCACTGCTTCAGACATAAGCCCTCCTAGCAAATCACCATATATTTGGGTGCACGGGTCAATAAGCAACTGTGTCAACTTATTAGGGAGGTCTTACAGACCACCAGCCTTTTGGGGGGCCCAGGCCAAGCTCACCACACTCAGGCTGGCCTCACAGGTGCACTGACAGTAGCAAATTGAACAGAATGTGTTGAACCCTTCTGGGCCTTAAATTCATGTAATTTTGTAGCAGGAGCAAGCTCTGTCCCTGCAAAGGCTCCCTGACTACATCCCAGATAAAAATAAACAAAGCTGCTTTCACAAGCTTTGTACACTCTTCCCCTTCTGACAGCCTTCAAGTGGCAACATATGATTTGGTCCCTGAGACATACAAAGTGTTTTAATTAAAGGTTGTCTAAAAATACAGAACGTCTCCACGAGCACATCTGCCATTAACTCCTCTGACATTCCAGAGGCATGAAGTCCCAGAAAAGTCTTTACAACTTAAAAAGAAGCCACGCATGCCCGCGCACTGATGGCTGGTTTCACTGACAAAACCAAGCGGTGTTTACAGTTGGTGACCACAGTAATTAAGGCACCAGGGGTGGTGGGGGGGCTGCAATTTGTCCTTACAACCTGGGGAACAGGATTAGCGATTTTGTGGCACTGGGCAGAATGACTTTATTTAAATACTCTGCGAGGAGAAGCCACAGTGGAGTCTCCACTAGACCACTACTCCTGTGACCTTGAGTCAGTCCATTAACCCCCACGAGCCTCAGTTCTTAAAATCTGTAATAACAGCTACTGTGCAACATGCAGAGAAGCATGCAAAGTGCTTTCCATCATTCAGAGCACAGGACCCCTACTTCACCCCAAAGAGACTAGGTCTTGTTATCATGCCCACTTTATAAGCCTCCTCCTTCATAACGGTCAAGGAAGCTCTCCTCCCAGAGACCATGGAAGGCAGGCGTGAACAGAATGCACTGGAGAGACAGTGCCCAGGTTCAAATGCTGGCTCTGTCATTTACTAGCTGAGTGACCTCGGGCTGAGTCCTTAACTTCTCTGTGTCTCACTTTCTTCCCATCAGTAAACTGTGCGCAGTAGTACCTAACTTAGATCTTGTTGTAGCACATAAGCTAGTGCCTCACTTATAATCTTAACATGAATGAAATAAATTAATATTTGGAAAGCACTCAGCTTAGGACAGTGCATAGCAGACAAGTCTGGTCAGACAATAATCTGGCATGACCTCGGACCTGAAGAGGTACACTGGGGATCAGATCCCTGCTGAGGTGGCAGGAAGAGAAGGGCCTCTGTCCAGATGTGTCCCCAAAGCCCCCCCACCAGAGGCAGAATGGGGCGAAGAGCCTAGGGCTGGCCCGTGGGCCAGGCCACCTACACTTGGAGACTCTGGCAAACACACGGAGACAAGAACCATGTGAACTGGAGCTCAGAAGTCACAGTGTTCCCTGCAGAATTCCAAGCTGCTGGTACCAGTTAGGCCCAGTCACGAGACTCCTCCCCTCTCTCCCTGTGATCCCTGCAGCAACCCTGTAAACAGTCCATCAAGACTCAGGAGCCTCAATCCACTTTCCTGCTCCCAGCTCACTCTGGCCCACAACGGACAGCAGCAGGACACGAACAAGACCTTTGTTCTTTCATTCCTTCTTCGCCCTGACCATCCTCCCCTACAAGGGAGAAGCCACCACACCTAGTCTCACGGCCACTGCGGGGAACTCAGGATTCTGGTCTTTGAAACACTAGTTTCCATACTCAGGAACTTACTTCACACACCTCTGCCGAGATAACCAAAGACGAGCTTCCCATTCCTCGTGACTGAGGGTGAGAAGTGTTGATTACTGAGAGGAAAGCAGTTCAAAAGGAAGAGAAGAAAAGGGGCTTATGGCAGCCGGAGGGTCACGAGGAGAAAGCGTATCTGCACTGAACAGGGCCCTTGCTGCAGAAAGATAAAGGAGAGGGGGGCGAGAAGAGACAGGACGTCCAGGAGAATTCTGGGCTGAGCACTGTTTTGTGGGAACAGCTGCAGCCCATGTGGGGACCCTCAGAGAGGGAACGTGGAAAGAAGGTTTTTGAGAAGTGCTGCTATGCATTAGGAATGTTCTCCACACCCCGCCTCCTATCTTCCCCTTGGAGACTTTTCAAGAAACTAAGTAAAAACTGGCAGTGTTTTCAATTCTATTATCCTGAGGGCCTTTTAATTTTCAACAGACAATGCATGAAGACAGGACCTCGTAGGGCCGCGTGGGGCCCCAGTCAGAACTGGGTGACGCATACAACACACACCGGCTTCAACGGAACCCTGACCCGGGGGCTCTACAGCCAGTTGTCAGGACACAACGTCCAGGAACGCACTGAAATGGAGGTGTTCGTGCCCCCACATGGACAGCGCGCTTTTCTGTCTTTGGGGTCCCCACAACCAATATTAGGAACGGCCTGGAAAGTGGACTCACCCGTCTCCTAGGACCCCCACTCTGGGCATGAAGGAGTGGGCTTCCGGCAAACCCCTGTGGGTCCAGAACCAGTTGTCTCTTTTTGGTTCCTATTATTATATATCTCCTATACTCTTAGGCCAGGAAAAGATGACTGCTCATCCGAATTCTTCAGCTATAAGACAATGTCACTTACAAAACACAAGAGCACACCATTTGTTTCAAGATAACTGGGAGAAGCTGATCCAGGGACCCCGCGTTCTTCTGTCGCTCAGGGAGGGGGGAAGGGGGGCTCCCTCTTCTTCACAGCATTCCATGTTCTCTTCATCCTCAGCCCCCCAGGGCTGTTCATGAGCCCATCACCCCAACACCGAGCCAACAGACCCCACGGACATTACTGAACAAGGCAGCAGCCTGAGAGCTGGGGACACTTCCTGACCTTTGGCGCTTCACCTTGACTTCTGTGACGTCACACTGATGTCCAGAGCTGTCCCAGTCCTCTGGCTGTGCCTTCCCTTCCTCTTTGCAGACTTTCCTCTACATACTCATTTTATTTTTCCTCAAGCACTCAATTCTAGGCCCTGACCTTATTCCCGGCACCCCTACCCTGAGCAGTCCCCTCAACACACAAGACTTCGGGAGCACGCAGATGTCACAGCACTCCTCGGGGCTCAGAAGAGCCCTAACCACACACTTTAAATGTCCACCTGCCCACCTCAAAGACAATCTGTATTCAGTGTGTCCCAAATGAAACACACTATCTACCCTTCAAACCTGGTTGTCTTTCAACATCCGTCTTTTCAGTTTATACCAAAAAACAAAAAAAAAAGAATGGGAGCAAACATACTCTCTCTGCTTAACCACAGTGCCAGCACTGAGCTGTACTTACTACAAGTGATCTCTATACATCTTTGCACAAGAAGTTTAAGTTCGGTCATCTATTGGCACTATTTTACAAATACAGAAACTAAAGATGGAGAAGTTAGATTACTTCTCTCCATTGGTAAGTGGTGGGCCTGCTGTCTGCACAGGTGTCAGCCAGAGAAGGGGGAGCATCGCCGACATCCCCACCCAGACAGCCAAGTTTCGTCCGTTTTCCTTCTAAACAGATGTCGACTCTCTCCACCTCTACCACCACCTCCCCCCGCCCCCTTCCATCATCTCTTCATCAGATGCTTTCAAGGTCCTGTCCATTTTCCCACACCCCCTCTCGTTCAAGTCCAACATTCCCCACACTGCAGGCAAAACGACACTTTCAAAATATGATTCTGGTCACTTCGGCCTTTTAGTATCTTCCCACTGCTTTCAGAATGAAGACTAAACTCCCAAAGCTGGCCTGCGACACTGTGCAGGGTCATCCTCCCTGCCTCCCAGAGTGGCCTGTTCTCTTCCTCACAGCACGAGTCTCGCTCGGGCATGTCTGTTTCACTGTTCCATGTCCCTGTCCCCTGCCAGTTGGGGAGTTGTCTTAACAGACCAACCACGTCTATTTCGTTCTCCATCGCAGCCTCCCTTAAGAAGCACAAAGCCTGTCAAATAACTGGCACTCACTGCTGTCTGTTAGATGGGTGTGTGGGTGGATTCATGGCTGGGAGGATGGGAAGATGGATGGATAAATGGATGCATGGACAGAAAAATGGAATAGTGGGTAGGTGAATGGGTAATGGATGGATGCTGGATAGATGGATAATAAATGGATGGTGAATGAAGGATGGATGGAAAGATGGGGGATAGATGATGGAAGGATGGATTCATGGATGGATGAAAATGGACAATGGATAGATGGTGGGTGGATAGAAGCATGGGGGTGGATAGCTGGATGGATGGATGGATAATGGATTCATAGATGGATAATGGATTCATGGAAGGATAGATGGAAGGACAGATGAAGGGAAGGATGGAAGGAAGGAAGGATGGATGGATGGATGGATGGAAGGATGGGGGTGGATAGTTAGATGGATGAATGGATGGATGATTATATGAAGAGTGACAATCAGAAGCCCTACCTTTTTCCTGCACATTTATTCAAAAGATTTTTTTCTCTTTTCTGCACTCAGCCATGCCTTCAGTGTGTTGTGTGGGTGTTAAGCACCAGGAGTGATTCCTATTCACCTGTAAGAAGAAGCCGCCAGTCCTGAGAGCAATGAAGACTGCGGCAGGAGACAGCGCAGGGAGCACTCACCTGATGTCTGAAACGTGCTTCCAATCACAGCAGTGTCATCCGGCCACACGAGCCTGCAGATTCTCTTTGGTTTCTTACTTTCTCCAAATTCTGTTAAAGGAAAAAAAAAAAAGCTGAAGATATGGCTGTTTTTTACCTTTAAGAATCCTTTCTTGCTTACCAGTAAATTTCCCTTTATTTTGAATATAGTATCTGGATTCTTCACATGAAAATTTCACATGGGATCCAAAACAAGGGTTAAAATTAGAAAAAATTAGAAAACCCATGTAAGAAATAAGTGTGCCTCTTAGATCTAATTCGGGGTTGTTTCCAGACCAGGTACTAGTGCGCTGCTATGTTTAAACAACAGCAATTAAATGTCTTGCTCCTTTTGTTCACATGGTCATTTACTTGCTGCTCTCTAGACATTAAAAGTACATAAGAGAAGGCAGGTTATTTCATTACTAGAATTATTAGCTTCTCTTTCTCATACAAGCAGCTCAGTAAAGCCATTCTGTGCACTGCCCTTCGTGGCTGCAGTGTATCACCTACGTGTCAATCATGAAAACACTTTCTTTTTTAAAAGAAGTTAATAAACTGTATGCACCACAAATTGAGCTTCATCTTCACTGTATAATCAGTGACTTCTATTTGTGCACTCTCCAGAAATTACCTCTGAAAGGGAAGAAAAGCAAGCCACAGATCTGTGCTAAGTTTCATTAAGATAACCAAAGTGGGTGAGTTGAAGTGAGACTCACACCACCAGGAAACTTGGGTTCATTTCCTGTCTCAGTGCAAACAAACGCATCCACTTTGCTGTTAATAAAAGCAATGGCTGGGGAATAAAAAAGCTGGGCTGACACGAGTAAAGATGAAGTTATGAAGACCGAGTGACAAAATGCCCCAGTGGAGAGACACAGACCTGGGAGAAAAGCAGAGCATGGAAGCCGGGGAGGCGGGGCTACATTGTTCGGGGGCCAGGGTGTGTCACGGGAGCTGTACCCTGAGAAGACAAAAGGGAACAGGCTTGAGGATGTGAGCCCCTCAATAAAGAACTTCCCCGTAGGCCCGATCCTGCTGCCAGTCACTCCTGCCACTTGCAGAAAATGGACAGCATGTACAGACTGGACACCCCGTGTGAATGCATGAAGACTGGTTAGTTTCTACTCCACCAATGAACAGGCCCAGAAAGGCGTAAGAGACTCTTCAAACGGACATAAAACTTCCACTTAAGAACAAGTTTGGCTCTGCGAACTGACCTTCATAGCTGAAACAGAAAACTATTTGGAAAGGACGTTTGTGGTCACACCCTCATGCCTGTTATAATTGGCCTCCGTGAACGTTGGTGTATCAGTAAATAACATCAAGCTCCATTTTCTAGGAAGTATTCCTTACGTATGGGGATTACATCTGCCAGGGCACTGTCCTGTCATTTCTGTTGATCCTTTTACCTCTGTCTGGAACACATCCGTTGAAGAGGTCCTCATGATTAGTTTGTTTCATGGACACCAGCACACAACCATGACGACGTTTAAGTGCAGTATCAATAATCTGTGTTTTTAATAAATGTACCAGTTAAGAAGCAGACGTGGAATATGTTAGCCTGAGTGCATGTGAGTATTATCTACCTGGACACGTGAGGGAAGGACCTGGACCGCTCATCGAAATACTGAGCTTCCAATGTGTGAGCTGCATAAAACTCAGTCTCAACCAAGACTGCTGGGTGTATTTTAGGTTTTGTATTTTAAATGCAGGAGAGAAGCCATGCACGTGAATAGTGAATTCAGCATTCTTGTCAGGGGGGGTGGGTGAACATGGCTGAAGAGAAGCCAAGCTACAGATTTAAAGAAATGCAACCCTGGAAGTAGATACGACTTTGAGCAATGGGCACACAATGCAATAGATGGAGAATGTATCATAGAATTGAAACCTATATAATTTTATTAATCCAATAAATATTTTCCCAATAAATTTCATGGGGAAAAAAAATGGGATCCTCTTTTAAGTAAGTTAATTCCGAAAGTACAATTTTTAAAACTTATTTGAAAGTGTGTATACCCAGAACGGGAAGAAGGATTTCACCCTGGGGGGAGGGGGAAGCGGATGTTGGCAGTAACCACGGTTCGTTTAGGGCTGGGGCCAGCTTGCAGATTGGGAGGAGGTTTAATGCGCCTTAGCAGGGCGATCCTGGACAAGCGCCGTCCCCACTCCGGACTGTTTTCCTCATTATATACTCTAGGATGGAAGTCCTCCAAATTCCTTCCGCTGGCCTATTTCATGAAGCTACAATATTATCTTCGTAGTTTCATGAGAACATAAATTCAATTTTTATTATTATTATTATGCCTCAATTTTCATACACGGAAACCGGCCTGGTGTGCGCATGAGCCCCTCACACGGGCGCCGTGGACGCACCCTCCTCCCAGCCACGTCCCGGAGGCGGCCCCCTTTGTCCCGAAGACCCTCTCAACCATCTTCATTTCACTGTCTTCTAACTGGACTGTTCTCAGGGCTCCCCCGTGCAACTCAACTACATTTTGCGTCCGTCTACGCCTTTTTCCTGACGCTGGACTGGACACGCTTGCGACAAACGAGGGCAACGCGCCCCACACAAGACTTCAGCCAGTGACGGAACCCACACAGCACGGCAGTCCCGCAGGATTACCGCCGAGTTGAGGAATCCCTGTCGCTTTTGGGCGCGTGGCCGTCCTCCTAGGGCCCCAGTGACATGTTACTCCCTTAGGCTGCCGGGCCTTTCCCGGAACCCCCCCGGGGGCCCGCCTGGGCTGAGGGGCTCCCCCCGCCGGCTCTGTGTCCCAAACCCACGCAACAACCGGGCCACTGTGATGGCGGCAGGGCATGCAAGGTGCCCTCCTGCTGAAACCGGGAGTAAACAGGGAGTTTTTTACTTACAAGTCCCGGAGCCTACAAGGTAGGTCAGGTACAGACAGTGGGGTCGCCGGCAAAGAGCACGCGAGAACAAACGTGAGCACGTGCGAACAAACGTGAGCACGTGCTTATGCAGGTGCTTGCGCATGCGCTCCATGCACGGGCACCCGTGACCAGCCCAGGCGCACACGCGGGTTGCGGCGGGGGGGCGGGGCAGAGGTTCTGCCTTCGTTGGCACGGAGGTTGCAGCCTTGGTCTTAAATAGTGAACTTAAAACCCAAGAGTGGGAATTTAAAGTTAGGGAGAGAAAAAACAAACAGCTCCAATGCTCAGTTATCCCCTTAACCAAGATCTGAGACGAAGGAGGTGGCAGCCTGGCTCTGCACTCAGGGCGCCCGCAGTGTGTTTATTATGTGAGAGAGAAGTAGCCTTCATTGAAGCAGTGATGCCTCTTCAAAGCTTAAGTCAGGCACTTGGCATTTCAAAAACAAGAGTCTGAGGGCAATTATTTAGGTGTCTGTGGCTGTGACCCAAGTATTGTATTAGTCAGATGTCAAGACAAGAGGAAACCATTATACATGATTTAGGTCTCAGAAATATACCACCTTTGTTAGGGCAAAGGATTTCAGGGTCTGGAAAGTTCTCGATGTTATTTCTTGCTAAATGTTAAAAAGTAGCACAGTATTTTGCAGATGGGATGTAAACAGGATGAGCTGACAAAAACAACCAGATGAAAGTAACCAACTGCAAAGAAGAAATTAATGTGTAACTGACCAAATGGTGGGTATAAGCCAATGGCTAAGACTCCCTTTGGGAAAACAGAGCTCTGGATGTGAATCACCTGTTTCCTTCAGTTGCTGCAAGTAAATAAAAGTACATTCTGGCCACCATCTCCTCCTGTCTCTCCTCGGCCATAACCAAAATATCAATTTGTTGTTCCGCATATTTACACATTCACTGGTTAATTTCTATAGGTGCCCCAACCAGCATTGGAAACCACAGCCTTGGCTTATGGAGAGGGTGCTCTAACCAACTGGTCTACCCAGCCAGGGTGGATGTCTTGTTTTTGAATAAAGCACCCCAAGAAATGAACCCTTAACACCTTGAATACAACTGCAGTTATTTTCCAAATCAGAAACGCAACATTCAAAACCAAAAAATGGAAAAGCCGTGTTATAAATAAAATGGCAGTGAACCCTTAAACCACTTAAACTGAGACAAGAGTATTTGCCATACATTGGGTCATAAAACCAAAGGCAAATAACAAAAATTACCCTTGCAGAGGAAATAGTATATAAAAACTGATCATTATTAATCAAGTTCTGAAATTTCAGACAATAAGATGGGAAAAGGATGAGGTCAAGTTTTTTAATTTTTGTTTCTGAAATAAAATAGTATTCTTAATTCTGATATCTTGAAAATACAGGTTAAACTTTTTTTAAAGCAAATCAGAAATAAAATTATAGTTCTATAGATATATATACTTTTCAAATGATAAAAGGTAAAAACAATGAAGCTATTTAATAAGGAGAAAAAGAGAAGCTTAAAAACAAAGCATAAAAACCAAGGCCAGATATTATCAGTTATCACGACAACTGAAATTAGGCCAAACTCCTTTTTTAAATGGGAATGACCCTCGAATGGGGATTTAAATGTACTGTTTATGAAAAAGCGTTCCTAAAATACAGTGAGAAAGAGTAAAATCTAAAAAACAGGCAAAAGTATATCATAGCAAAAAAGAATAAAGCCAAGATATCACTTTACCCAAAGTTAAAAAAATAAAAAAGCGCCCCGGCTGGTGTAGCTCAGTGGATTGAGCATGGGCCTGTGAACCAAAGGATTGTGGTTCTATTCCCAGTCAGGGCACATGCCTGGGTTGCAGGCCAGTTCCCAGCAGGGAATGCACGAGAGGCAACCATACACTGATATTTCTCTCACTCTCTCCTTCCCTTCCTCTCTAAAGATAAATACATAAAGTCTTTAAAAAATAAAAATAAAATAAAAAAGCATTCAAGTGTAAAAAGATGTCTCTTTTACTCTGATAAAGAACACAATTTACAATGGCAAAGTAACCATAATGAATCTGTGTCCAAGAGCCTTGCACCCACTTCCCTATATAAATGTACAAAGTAAAAGAATAAATAGCTATAAATAGAAATGATGAAAAAGCAAGTCTCAGATATGATGTCGGGAAAATGAAAATTTAATAAGG